TTTGTTCTACACTTTTACCCACTGGCCCCTGTTCTGTCCTCATGAGACCATAGAAGATGAATCCACTCCTTCTTTCACTTGAGAATTCTCTTATTTTCTCAGAATTAAGAATGAAGACATTTTATTGTCCTGCCTTTCATGTCCTAGATGCAATAATGTTTTGGCTTCCTGGGCAATGGCCCTCGCTATTCATTCTCCAGCTGTTCTTTTATCCCTTGGATGCTGAACCATATTTTTTCAACTTGGCTCATTTCCTGAGGCTTGTGACGGAAGACCTTTTGTCTATCACCTTGTATTTTAAGTCTTCACACTAGATTATTGGTCCATGTAGCTTCCTATCCCTAAAACCCCACATTCAGATTAGCTGATCAAAGCTTGGAGAAGACCAAGATACACTGTTATATAAGGTGCTTTCTCCAAAACAGCCAAGTGTAGTGAAAAGAAAATCAATTGAGACTTAGGAGATCTAGATACTAGCCTTTTCTCAGCTGTGGAGATTCCATATTTCAACTCTTTCTCTTCTATCCATTTAATTATTACATAATGGTCAAAGTGAGCTTAAAGCATAAATTGGATTATGTCACTCAAAATCCTTCAAGGGTTTCTCAATCTTCTTAGGTCTTAGCCTAAAATCCAGTCTTTACCAAGGCCTCAAATGTTCTCCATAGTGTGAATCTGTGATGTGACTCCATCTTGATGACTCCCCAACCTCATTTTTCCCTTCTTCTATGTTAGTCACTACTCTCAGTTATACTGGCCATTGCCCAAGCTTTGTCCCACCTCAGAATCTTTGCATAAACTGTTTCTGCTTCCTCAACTGCTTAGTCCCTCAATTTTTTTGCCTAGCCAACTCTTAATCTCTAGACTCAACTCAGGTGTCATTTCTTCAAAAAGCTCTTTCATAACCTGGAAGAAATGCTGTAGCTAAATAAATGGTAGCCAAATTGAGCCCTTTGCTTTGGGGATAAGCAGAGTCTAACCCTTCAGCTTGTGCTTTTGAGGTGTGTGCAGTTCTTCTTGTGGCACCATCCACCAATCTGTATTATTTACAGGTCCAATTATATGTGGCCTGGGTATGTAAGGATTGGTGTTGACAGTGTGACACCTGGAACTTAAAAAACATTCAAAGAATTTAGTTCACTCAACTTGAAGTGACTACTGTGAGGAAAAGAAAGGAATGGCAAGAAAACATACATTTATTGATTATCTACTTCAGGTTTGGCAAATTTTTCTATAAAAAGCCAAATAGTAAAGATTTTAGGCTGTGTGGGCCATACAGTCTCCATGGGAACAACATTGTTCTGCCATCCTAGCATGAAAGCAACCACAGAAAACACATCAATGAATAAGTTGATGAGTTTCCAATAAAACTTTACTTACAAAAGTGGGTGATTGTTTCCTAGGCCCTGATCTGGTGTGTGCCAGATGCTTTACGTGTATTTACTCTTTATGACAACCTCATAGACAATTATTTATTCATTTTATAGGTGCATAGAGGTGCAGTAACTTGTCTAGAGCCTCTCAGTTGGTAAGGGAAAAACTTTGAATTCTAACTTAGGCCTCAAAGATTAGAGAAAGGAAATGGTCAATAAAGATTCAACAAGTATTCATGGAGCACCTACTATGATTATAGTAGTGCCAGACATTTGAAAAGCCTAGGATGTATAAACCTCACTTCTGTCTAGTTACCTTTTATTATTTTCTTTTAGTCTAATTTGGGAAGGCAGCATGGTGTGATGAAAAGAATGTGAGTTTTGGAATCAGACCTGACTCAAATTTAGCCCCACTATTTAACAACTTTGTGAACTTGGGAAAGTTAAGTTCCGGCTTTAACATCCTGAAACCAAAAACAAGTGAAGTGATATTGGTAGATGCTAGGCCTCCATCAAATAATTTTTAATGAGATTTTATATTCGAAGGAACAGTATACTTACTTTTTAAAACTCCAATAATTTTTGGGGTACTGGTGACTTTTGGTTACATAGGTAAGTTTTTTAGTGGTGAATTCTGAGATTTTAGTGCACCCTGTCACCTATGCCATGTACACTGTAGCCAACATGTACTCTTTCATCCATCACCCTTCTTTACTATCCATCTCCCCTTCCTTACTTCCCCATGAGTCCCCAAAGTTCATTATATCACTGTGTATGTTTTTATGTCCTCATATTAATAACTTAGCTCTGACTTATAAGTGAGAACATACAGTTTTTTTCCATTCCTGAGTAATTTCACTTAGAATAATGGCCTCCAGCTCCATTCAAGTTGGTTCAAAAGACATTATTACATTCCTTTTTATAGTGTGTGTGTGTGTGTGTGTGTGTGTGTGTGTGTATACATCACATTTTCTTTATCTTTGTGGAACTTTATACTTTTGATTTATACTATTCGAATCTTTCTTTACTAAGTACTGTTAATGTCTTTATAAATTTTAAGACCTTTAAGGATCGAGATAAAAAGGAGACAGCTATTCTTTATCTCCTTCAGAGCTGGTCTGTCTCTAAGAATTTTGCTTGCGTGATGGAACAGAAAGTGTGTCTCCATCAGCAGGAAGAAGTGTTTGGAAGAAACTCAGGGAATATAGATACTGATATCAATAGTATATAAGTTGTTGAGTCCTGCATTCTTCTTTTATTTGCTAAGTAACAAATCATTTGAGAGAGTGACTAGTAAGGTCCACATCATGATCACGTTTGATGCTCATATTCAGAGTGGACTTCGGCGTGATCAGTGGTTATTACAAGTGGTGGAAAGTTTGAAAACATGCAGTGGGAAGAGTTAAGTGGTTTGTAGGAAAGGTGTTTATGACCAAATCAGGGCTGCTGTCAATTTGAGGATTGTCATCAGTATCTGATTACATATAATAATTTCATCTTGATAATTAGAATCACCTATTCCACAGGCTATCTCATTTCAAATTTCAGGCATCTTTTAAAAGCACACCAGGAGTGCCTTCTTTTGCTCAGAAAAGCTTCACTACTGGAAACAGCTTGCCGTTCCCTTTCTGTGCCTCTTCAGTTGTTCTGGGGACGATCTACGCCACTTCACGTGAAGCATGTTGCCAGTGTTCTCACCAGCTAAGCCCCTCTGACTCTTGCCTTTATCTGAATCTGTTGGGCTAATGGGAAAAAATAACCTTTGATAACCTTTGAATCAACAAAGACATAAGAGGCAAAACAAAGAAACTTTGTGACACAAGAAATCGAGAAGTGTCTTAAATAGAGATGCAGTTGGAGTCGCTTAAGAATTATGTTGCTAATGATGTAATGGAAACTATTTTTATATTTGGGAAGTGAGTTCTCAAATACATTTGAAAATCAAGGTGGAGATTAAAGCATAAACAGGGTCATGGTTGAAAATTTGGCGTTTGGTGTAGTTTTAGTAACCTATAACCTTCATATCTTTTCTGGTTTTATCAGACCAAAGGCAAATTCTTCTGACCCATGAAGTTGATCTGTGAACTCTGTCAAAAAATCCAAAACTCCACAGTTGTAGATCATGCATCCCATTAGCATAATTTTCCACCCAAGGTGTAAATGTATATTCTTTAAATTGGCACATAGTATAGATAGTATTTTGCAGAATTATAAGAGAAGATTGTTTGCCATGTAGTAGAGTCAATTTAAATTTTGCCATAAGAATTATTGCTTTTATCTCTTCACCTTTTCTTTTCTTTCAGAAACTGTGAGTTATAAAATAAATGTAAATGTAGTCATAGAGATAGATGCTATATTTCAGCCACATAAAACCATACATTCTAGCAGTCTGTGGTAGTTGAAGAGAGTGGAAACCTGATTTTCAGGAGGATGTCAGTTTGGTAAATCAGGACAGAAAAAAACAAATGTCTCAACTAGTGAAGTTATGTTTTTGGATTTCAGATAACCAAGCCAGTTTAAAAGCTGAAGGTGTGAAATGAAGAATTTGAGAATCTGAATTTCCCTTTGCCCCTACTCTAGGGATTCCTTTTCTCTTTCTCTGTCCCTGTCTCTGTCTCTCTGTCTCTCTCTCTCTCTCTCTCTCTCTCTCTCTCTCTCTCTCTCTGTGTGTGTGTGTGTGTCTGTGTATGTGCGCGTGCGCACTTGGGTGTTTGTAGGACTTACTTCACTGTTATAAAGCTTTGTAAGATTTCTCTAGGATCTCCGTGATGATGTTCCTCTTTTTTAATTCCTGAAATTAAAATGTGTTGGAATGCTTGGCTGCCTTTCACTCCCTCCTCAATGGACCCTTTAGTTTTTCACACCAAGGTGTCCTTCAGGGTGCCAGGTCAGGCTACCAAAACAGCTTCTAGGAGGGGATTAGAACCAATTAACATCTTTGTACACAAAAGCCACTGGCAGCTGAACAGGCAGCCTGGTGGCGGCTCCGGAGCTGCATTTTAAATAGGGCCTTCTGTACTTGAGTTCAAGTAGGAAGAGGTGGAGAAAGTTTTTATTTATAATTGAAAATGCTGTTTTTGGATAAAGTCTAATGAAAAGAAAAGTAGTGTTCAGAAGTATCTAACAAATACCATTTGAATGTTGGTCTATATTGTATGTGATTCCATCAAGGATGCTCTCACAATATAGCCTGCTCCTTGGCACATATTGAGATGAAGTGATGTTTCTTCACATAACAATTTTGTCCTTACATTTCTCTTGTTCTCTGTTTTAAAAAAAGTTCAGCTGGATCCCAAGGCACAAAAAGGAGCTGCTCCAAAGGATATATAGTCTTAAAAGCCAGAAGCCTTTTCATAAGAAATCTATCGTATGGATACCTGTACCACAAAATCTTTGTTTGGGGCAAAATAAAGTGGAGAGAGCCATTGTGCAAAGTTTGTTTGTTTTTTAACCCTTGGTTTGAGAGAAGTTGAGTTATTTTTGTTTTATTTTAAGCACAGTAACCAAATTGTTACTTTTATTTTTTACTGTTTAATTTTTTGGAGATAGTGTATCTTTTTATGTTCAGAAATACTGGAATCAACAAAGATTTTAGAGATAAAACAAAGAGATTTTGTGACCCAAGAAATTGAGAAGAGTCTCCAATAGAGATGCAGTTGGAATCGCTTAAGAATTATGTTGTTAAAGATGTAATGGAACCTGTTTTTAAATTTGGATAGTGAGTTCTCAAATACATTTTAAAGCTCAAGAGCAAAGTAGGGGTGTTTTCAATTTGCTTACTATTGAACCTTCTCAGCTTCCTCAACTGCAAGGCATGTAGCTTTCTCTGTGAATGAAAATACTAGCAAATAAAATGCTGCTTTCAGAATCTTGTCCAAAAGACTACAGTGGGAATCCATGGGGGAAAAAAAGAGATCCAAAAAAGAAATTAATTAATATGCAGTAGGTCAAAAGAATGATGGTGATCATAAATTTACTGAATCAGAGTGGAAAGTATAAGGAAAAATGAAGCAATCTGATATTCTACTTTCTGTCCTATTATAGATTTTTGTTTTATGGAAGGAAATGATGAAGAGAATAGTATGCATTTCTCTTTCAATGGCTTGAATGGAAAATGTTTTTAAAAAGTCAGTCTCCTGGTCCCTAATCTAAATTATGGTCATTTTCAGTTTCCTGGGTTTTATACATAACTCTAGATTCTTCTTAGTGTGATATTTTCGAAGCAAACCTTAATACAGTCTCAATGTGTGGTTTCCCCCCTGGGTTTTAGTTTCAGATACTGTATTGTGAGTCTTCAGACATGTTGAGTCCCCCTAATGTTAAATGGTAATTGCCAGAAGTATAGGTGGGGATGGAAACATTGTTATATTTGGTTCATTTTTCACACTTCAGCAGTTATCCCTTTTTCTCTCTTGCTGTATGCTTATTAGGGTATGAAATGCAGGTGTGTGGGAAATGGCTAGCGGACATTGACAGGTTATTTTGTTGGTCACTGCCTAATTAGTAGCATAGTGGATGCACCCTGCTAAGCTTTAGTGTGGGGCAGCAGAGCTGGTCTGTTCTAATTTCCTCACGGCTTTGATATTCGCCAAGAGATTGACGGTTTACACAAAAAGCCAAGGCCCGAAGGAGGCCTGTGGAAACAATGAGCCTTCTTGCTTGTAGACACCACAGATGTGAGAGAAAGCTGGCTAAAAACAATTGGCTGACACTGTCTAATTGTCTCCGATGTCAGCGTCATTAATGTTTTCCCATGTAAAACGGAGAAGGCCAAGGTTGTATCCTCCCTTTATTTTGAGGCACATGATTATGTAACTTATCGAGATTCAGATTAAGTGTTAATTGTATTTGTGCAATAAAGAAACTGAAGCTACCTTGGATTTAATGAATATGTGCTTAATTAATTTTGACAGCTTTTATCTTTATTACCTTCTGAATAATTCTTATCGGAATTAATAACATTTTCCAGTAATTAAAATCACAACTTATTTAATGGTAATATATATTTACATTTCTTTCTAAGTTCAAACCAGGGAAATGATTATGAAACTTCGCTTATCTTTTGGCAAGCCTCTTATGAGGGTGTTAAGCAATAATTAGAACAAATACTTTGGGATGTCAGCAGAGCTTTTCAAATTAGACAGCTGACCCAAGTGTTCTAAAGAAATACATGTTAATAGCCAAGAAGTACAAAATTACCAGGCTACTCCTGTGAAACTCCAAACCTATTTTTATCTGCGAAATGGCTTTAAAGATTTTTTCCTGAGGAGGGGAAAACTGGGGAAGGTGACACCCTAGGAAGAACTGACAGCTTGGACTGAAATTAAACATTTTTTTTTGCAAGGCAAGACCTGTAGCTTCCTACAGCGCTGATGATATATTAACCCAAGCTGAAGTATGTTGCATGTCATTGTGATCAGCAAATATTATACCGTGTGTACTGTGCGGCAACCTCTGTGACACCAAAATAAGGCAACTACTGTAGTTTCTGCCTCTTTTGATATTTCTTAGGTCTTTTTGGGGCAATACATTTTTCTCATCTGAGCAGTATAAGAGTAGTGGCAGAGCAATGGAGTTGTGCCCAGGAGAAGAGATATTCTTTGATTTGTTTATGGTCTGTGATGCTTCTGAGTCAGGGAAGCCCACATATCCTGAGTTCCACAATGAGTTAAAATATGTCAAATTTGATTCTCAAAAATAATCTATTGGAAGACTTGGCCTCCCTCAAAATCATTTATCCAGGAAGCTCCATGTTTTCCTCTGAACCCTCTTACTCACCCAGCTTTGTTGCTTGAGTGCATAACTACCCTTGACAGAAAGCATTGGTTTTTGAACTTGAGGTCATGCCTAGAAAATCATATTGCCGAGTGTTTGGCTTCTTGTATCCCTTTCTTACCTGCACAATAGCACTGGCAAAGTGCTGTCCACACAGTGAATGCCCATTGTGTGTGGTTCCAATACATTGTCCACAGTGGTTTCCTAGGGGTTATGTTACAGTACAGCTTATGACCAAAGAGAGCCTGGTGTTGTGGAAAAGCCCATAGCCTTTAGGGTTAGATAGATCTTAGTTTGAATCTAGCCTCAGGTACTCATTAGCTGAATGACTTTGGACATGATCTTTTTGAGTCTCAAGTTTTTGTTTTGTTTTGTTGTGTTGTGTTGTGTTTTTGAGACAGGGTCTCGCTCTGTCACCCATACTGGAGTTCAGTGGCATGATCTTGGCTTACTGCAACCTCCACCTCCTGGGCTCAAGTGATCCTCCCACCTCAGCCTCCCAAGTAGCTGGAACCCTGGAACCACAGCCAGGTATCACAATGAATGGCTTTTTTTTTTCTTTTGCATTTCAAGTTCTTAATATTAATGCCTTGCAGGGTTGGTATGAGCTTGAAAGATAATGATTGTGAAGTGCTCAACACAAGATCACCTGCAGTAACTATTAAATGGTGGCTACCATTATTATTGTAGTAATACTTTCTGTACTCATGGCCTCTGCTGCCTCCAATTTCTAATTGCAGGTGTCTGGGCATTCTACCTAACTTGTCTTAGCGTAGTTCCTCATATGTAATATGGGATAATGATAGTATATACTCAGTATCCTTGAGAGGATAGTAATACTAATGATAATAGATATAATGACTGCTACTGATGTTTATCGAAGGAGGTCTCATGTATTGCAGAGTCTGAAATGTTAAGCACTTTATAAGTGTTAGCTGCTGTTGTTGTGTTTATTGTGAAGTCCTTAGAATTGCTGAAGAATTTCAGGTCTGTCAAATTCTTCACATACCATTATTAGCAGACCTGGTGGAACTGTTCCTCAACCAAGCATTTCTTATCTATGAGCTGAATAAAGTATTACATATGAGCCTATACCGTTTTCTTTTAAACCTTTAGCCTCAGTCTCTCCCTTATCCCCCCTGTACTTTTTCTAAAATTCGGTTTTCTAAAGACAGTAATAATGTGAAAGCTTACCCTGAATAAGTCCAAGCTTCTCCAGAAAATGGTAATTGCTCATCTTGATTTATTCTAGTATATAAACTGTCTGCATGCAGCTTTTCTCTCAGTGACCCAAACCAGCTGGGCACTGTTGCCTCATGATTGGCAGATCTTTATGCACTGGGTGCAGCCAGATGGGTCTAGAGAATGCCCTCTTCTTTCCCTTTGTTTTTATTGGCTTAATTTGTCCCCAAAGGGGATAAAGTTTCACTGTGTTGGTTCATTTCAAATACAAAGGGATTTATTCCTACAGGTTTCTCAACTTCTCGCATTTGTTGAAAATTCTGGATATAGGATGTTGTAGCTTGGTCATCTAGCAAATCATAGACTTGCATCTGCAGCAGCTAGAGAGCTTCTGGGAGGCTAGTGTCATCACCCAAAGCTATAACCTAATATATTATGCTCACATCCTTACTGTAGATCATTTAAGTCCATGACTTCAAATCAGTTTAGTAAATGTCTCTTAACATCGGTTATTTGCACACTACTGTGTTGGGCATGGGGAATACACATCTAAGTACGGGAAATACTATGCACTATAGTGGTTACATGTACAGGCTTTGGTGTCACATCGGGGTTAAATCATTTGTCTATCCCTTATTAGCTTAGACGTTTTCCTCATTTATATAAAAGGGGTTGAGAATACCAACCTCCCAGGGTTGTTTTTAGGGCTAAATGAGATACTCTATGTAAAGCACTGATCACTTGACAATGGCAGTCATTAGTAAGACACAGTCCCTGCCTCAACTGGAGGATACAGACATGGAAAAGAGATCATTTCAATGTCATGTAGTAAGAACGAGGTTCATTCTGGTAGAGTGGGAGGAAAAAGCTTAGGGAAGCCTTCCTGGAAAGGACACTCACTAGTTGGCCTGCAGTCTTGATGGATGAGGCAGTCACTCAGGTAAGTAGGGGAAGGGACCATGTTTTCCCAGTGGAGGGACCAGCATGAGCAAATGCATGCTGGAGAAAATGTATATGCTAAAAACTTCAAGAAATTCAGTATTATTAGGAGCTCAAAGCCTTTAGGTTGTGCTTACCTGTTCAGAGAGGCTGCTTGGAAATGGGCTGACACTCTTTAGGCCTTTGTTTTTGTTCCCTCAGGGCAACTTAGCAGGTTCCAGTTCCCTTTAGAAGTTGACACAGTCCAAGGATGCAAGTTCTTCTTTAATTTGCTTAGCTTCTGTTCTGAAAGAAAAGGTCATTTATGGGGAAAGGTCATGTCTGTCATTTAAGGAATAGTCAAATGTGGATTTTCAGAGCTTTCCTTTTTGATCATGTGACCTTGTGCTAATTATTTAGCCTGTGTCTCAGATTCTTCATCTATAAAATTTAAAATTTGGATAGTAATGGTATTTACTTCATCTGAGATATCTCAGGATTAAGTGAATAATCCATGTAAAGTGTTTGGAAGAGTCCCTGGCACAAAGAATAAGCTCAATAAATGTTAATATTGAAGTGTTAATTACTCTCAGGAGTATTTTCCATTCAGAAGAAGGCAGAATTTAACTGAGAGTAATGGTGGACTTTTTAAGCATGATGTCATTTGCTATTTGGAACAGAAGTCAAGAGCAATTGAAAAAGGTGATCCAGTCCATTCAATCTTCTCTTCCAGAGGAGAATTTAGTGCTACTGTACACACTGTAGTTGGAAAGGGATGCATAGTTCCCAAATCATCATTCTGAGCCACCTTGTGCTCTTTTATCACAGAGTCAGAAGCCTTTAAAGCAGAAGTCCTGGGAACAGTTCCACCTCAACAGTCAGAACCTTTTTCTTATTCTTCTTCCTCTTCTCTATCCTCTTTTCCCTGGCTCACCCCTCCCTCCCTCCGTCCCTCCGTCCCTCCCTCCCTCCGTCCCTCCGTCCCTCCCTCCGTCAGTCGCTCCGTCCCTCCCTCCCTCCCTCCCTCCGTCCGTCCCTCCTTCCCTCCCTCCCTCCCTCCCTCCTTCCTTCCTTCCTTCCTTCCTTCCTTCCTTCCTTCCTTCCTTCCTTCCTTCCTTCGACAAATTAGGGTGTTTGGCTTGGAGAATAGAAGATGGGGTGGATTTTAAATCCATAGCTAGGTGCCCTTGTATAAGACAACTCGTACAGTCTTATGAAATAGCTCTTATTCCCTTCTGAATTCTTAACTTTTATATGAGCCCACCAATGGTGATTGTTTTGTTTTATTTTAAATTGTTATTAAAATAATAATTTTACAGGAGCAGTGGCTCACACCTGTAATCTCAGCACTTTGGGAGGCCGAGGCAGGTGGATCATGAACTCAGGAGTTCAAGACCAGCCTGGCCAACATGGTGAAACCCTATCTCTACTACAAATACAAAAATTAGCTGGGTGTCAGCTACTCAGGAGGATGAGACAGGGAATTGCTTGAACCTGGGAGGCAGAGGTTGCAGTGAGCCAAGATCACACCACTGCACTCCAGCCTCGGCAACAGAGCGAAACTCTGTCTCAAAAAAAAAAAAACTGTGGAAAATACACGTAACATAAAATTGACCATCTTAACCATTTTAAGTGTACAGTTTAGTAGCATTAAGTGTATTCATATTATTGTGAAGCTAATCTCCAGAATTTCTTTATACTACAAAACTGAAGCTCTGTTCCTGTTAAACAACAACTCTCCATCCTTCTCCTTCCCCTGGCCCCTGACAACCACATCCTACTTTCTGTTGCTATGAATCTGACTGCTCTAGGTACCTTGTATCAGCGGGATGTCAGTGTCTGTTCCTTTTTGACTGGCTTATTTAAATTAGCTTAATGTTCTTTAAGGTTCATCCACGTTGTAGCATGTGTCAGAATTTCCTTTCTTTTTAAGGATGAATGATTCCATTGTATATATATTACAATTTGTTTACCCACTCATTGTTGATGGACATTTGGGTTGCTTCTTTCTTTTGGCTGTTAGTAATGGTGCTGCTATGAACATGAACATGGGCATACAGATATCTCTTTGAGACTTTGCTTTCAGTTCTTTGGGATTTATACCCAGAAGTGATATTGCAGGATCTTCTTTGAAGAACTACTGTACTGTTTTCCATAGTGGCTGCACTATTTTACATTCTCACCAACAAGGGTTCTAATTTCTGCACATCCTTGCCAGCGTATGTTGTTTTCTATTTGTTTTTTGTTTTGTGTTTTTTGAGAGCAGCCATTGTAATGGGTATGACTTGGTATTTCATTGTGGTTTTGATTTTTATTTCCCTAATGATTAGTGATACTGCCTATCTTTTATGTGCTTATTGGCCATTTGTATATCTTCTTTGGAGAAATGTCTATTCAAGTCCTTTGCTTATTTTTGAATCAGCTTGTTTCTTTTTGTTGTTGAGTTTTAGCATTCTTTATATATTCTGAATATTAATATTTTATCAAATATATGATTTGCAAATATTCTTTCCCATTCCATAGGTTTACTTCTCATTCTGTTGATACTGTCCTTTGATGCACAGAAGCTCTTAATCTTTATGTAGTTCAATTTATTTTCATGTTTGTTGCCTCTGCTTTTAATGTCTTGTCCAAAAAAATCATTGCCAAATCCAGCGTCATGAAGCTTTTGTTCTATGTTGTCTTTTAAGAGTTTTATAGTTTTCATGTTCACATCTTTGATCCATTTTGAGTTCATTTTTTATGACTTCTAGATGCTAATTACTTTTTATTAAATTTTTATAATGATATAATTTACATAAAGGTTGTCGGTTTTAAGTGCACTGTTTCAAGACTTTTGAAAAATGTACACACCAGGTAAACTCCACCACAATCAAGATGAGAACATTTTTGTCACCCTCAAAATTCCCTTGTGCCCAGTTTAGTCAGTTCTCTCTCCTACCCTCAATAGCCACTGATCTGTTTTTTTCTCACTATGGTTTTGTGTTGTCTAGAATTGCTGCTAATAGGGCTGCTGTTTGTACAGCCCCACCATGGGTAGGGTGTGCCATGAATAATGTGCCTGGTTATAGGGACATGGTGTATATAGAGAGGAATGGGACATGGTACTTACGTGTTCGTGGTCTGTTAGGAGCTACTTGTGTATGCTTCATTGAGAGTGCCCCAGACAAGACCCCTGATGTGTGTGTGGTCTAGGGAGTGTGCCTAAAAGGAGAACTTAGGCATCTGTGTTTTAGTGGCAGACCTAAGACAAGTTAGTACCTGAGTGAATTTGATCAAAGACTCTTTCCAGAGCCACAAGTAGCAATGCCAAGCACAGAATTCTTGCAAAGTAAATAGCCTATACATTGCAGGTGCTACCACCTGCACACCTGTAGTGGAAGATTTGCTGAGTACAGACATTTTGACTTTTTAATGGGTGGCCGTGAAAT